AGAGAGTGAGAGAGAGAGAGGGAGGGAGAGAGAAAGAGAATTTTAATATTTATTTTTTAGTATTCGGCGTACACAACATCTTCGTTTGTATGTGGTGCTGAGGATCGAACCCAGGCCGCACGCATGCCAGGCGAGCGCGCTACCGCTTGAGCCACATCCCCAGCCCATTTACTCATTCTCTTGAGATAGAAATTTAGGTTTATTCTAGTCTATTTTATCAATTAGGAATGCATCAGTGGTTTCAACTTCTTTGAGGGAGAAGGGAGGTTATCAGGGATTGAACTCAGAGGCACTCAACCACTGAACCACATCCCCAGCCCTATTTTGTATTTTTTTTAGAGACAGGGTCTCACAAGTTGCTGAGGCTGGCTTTGAACTCCTGATCTTCCTGCTTCTTTCTCCCGAGCCACAGGGATTCCAGGCATGAGCCACTATGACTGGCTGTTTCGACTTCTATGCAGTTTTTTGTTAATTCCTCCACACCTGGTTTTGTTTTATAAATTTTTATTATAATGGTGACAAGTTTTGTTGTAAAAAATAGAAACACATGATGGCGCATGCCTATAATTCCAGCAGTTCGGAGGCTGATGCAGGAGTAGTGCGAGCTCAAAGCCATCCTCAGCAAAATGAGGAGCTAAACAACTCAGACCTTGTCTGAGATGTGGTTCAGTGGTTGAGTGCCCTTTAGTTCAATCCCTGGCATGCACACACGCGCGCGCGCGCACACACACACACAGACACACAGACAGACAGACAGACAGACAGACAGACAAATGGAAGCACTTCAAAATTACATAGTGTAAAATAAATGAAGGCTTCCTGAATCTTACCTCAGGAGCTATCAGGAGTAGAGTTAGGTGCATATTCTCCCAGGGGTTTTTTCTTTTGCTTTCAGGGACTGTTAACTGTCCACCAGAATCCTTTATCTACTTCTTCTGTAGTATCTGAGCAGCCACATGCTCAGTGTCCCTTGTAGTTAGAGGGAACAGTGGACTCCACTTTCTCCAGTAGAAGGTGAAAGTTGCAGCCCTCACAGGGCTAATAAGCCTGGTCCACAAAACCTCCACCAATGTCCATGCCCTGTTTGTCTTCCTGTGGGCTAGAGTGGGGATTATAACGCCTTGAAGAATCTCAGCAGGCATGAATAACAGATGGCACTGTTCCCTTTGGTCTGGGTCACTCAATAACTGCCTAGAGAAGCTACTTCTTTTCATTTCTCCACTAGGAACATCCACCCTCATCTGTAAAGAGAGAGAGAAATAAATTTCTCATCAGGTGAAGTGGGGCAGATCTGAAATAGCAGGGACTCAAGAGGCTGAGACAAGAGTTTGAGGCCTGGATGTGCAATTTAATGAGAACCTGGCTCAAAATAAATAAAAAGGATTTGGGATGTAGCTCAGTGGTAGAGTACCCCAGTACTGCTAAAAAAAAAAAAAAACAACTTTCTATTTTGTTGCAGCTATTGAATTTAGGGCCAAATGCTACAGAAGTTTAACCTATACTAATATATTTGTGCATTAGTCAGGATCTGAGTTGTAATGTGACACCAATTTAAAAACTTGTAGTAGGTGCTGGGGAGATAGATCAACTGGTAGAGTGCTTGACCATGGGCTCAATCCCCAGCACTACATACACAGAAATAATAATAATAACAATAAAATAAAAAATAAAGACTTGTAGTAAAGGGCCAGGCATAGTGGCATAGCCTATAATCCCAGTGGCCCCAAAGCAACTCACTGAGACCTTATCTCTAAATAAAATACAAAATAGAGCTGGGAATTTAGTTCAGTGGTCGAGTGCTCCTGAGTTCAATCCCCAGCACCAAAATAAATAATAATAATATGAAAATAAAAATTGTAGTAAAATACATATATTACAATATTTTTTATTATTATTTTCTTTCTTTGTGGATTGAACCCAGGGCCTTGTGCATGTAAGGCAAGCACTCTGCCAACTGAGCTATATCCCCAGCTGCTATTATTATTATTATTATTATTATTATTATTATTATTATTATTATTAGCAGCTATGGGGTGTTAACCAGGGATACTTTGCCACTCATCCAGTTCTTTTTATTTTTATTTTATATTTTCAGACAGAGTCTAAGTTGCTCAGTCTAGCCTCAAACTTACAATACACCAACTTCCACCTCCCGAGTTGCTGAGATCATGGGTGTGGACCACCATACTTGGCTCACAATTATTTTGTGCTAGTTTTGATCTGCCAGCACCTTAGTTATTGAGTTGTACCCTCACTCCCTAACTGTTTCCTTATTGATGGATGGTTGGGTAGCTACTGCTGCTGCTGCTTTTCCTTCCTCTCTTTTGGTGGTGCTGGGGATGGAATCCAGGGCCATGCATGGGAGATAAATGATCTACCACTGAGCTATACCTCAGCCCCTCCCCCCTCTTTCTTTCTCTCTTTCTCTTTCTTTCTTTCTCTCCTCTCTTTTCTTTTCTTTTCTTTCTTCATAGCAGTTCCCTACAGGCAGAGGCTCTGTGTACTTATGCCTGTAACCTCATAGTCTAGTGCAGTATGTGACATACTCAAGAAACACTTGGCTGAATCAAAGAGTGCTGCAAAACAAACAAAAAACATCCTTGGACACACTTCACCCTATTATTTGTTTCTTTCTTTCTTTCTTTTTCTTTTTGGCACTGAGGAATGAACTCAGGGGCTCTTAATCATTGAGCCACAACCCCAGCCCTTTTTATCTTTTAATTAGAGACAGGGTCTTTCTAAGTTGCTTAGGACCTTATAAATTGCTTTACCTGGCTTTGAACTTGGAATCCTCCTCCTTCAGCCTCCCAAGCCATTAGGATTACAAGTGTGTGCCACTACACCTGGCTAGGATTTTATTAATAAGTCTGGTACAAGTCATTCTTCATATATATGTGTGTGTGTCTCTCTCTGTGTGTGTGTATGTGCGTGTGGTATCTTTTAGTTGTTGATAGAATTTTATTTTTATTTATTTACCTGTGGTGCTGAAAATCAAACCCAGTGCCTCACACATGCCAGGCAAGCACTCTACCACTGATCTACAACCCTAGCCCCTGTAAGTCATTCTTTGGGTGAAAAATGTACTCTTTCTGTCAGGAGTATAATTGCTGCATCATAGGGTACTAGATTATTTTGTGTGTGTGTGTGTGTGTGTGTGTGTGTGTGTGTGTGTGTGTGTGTGTGTGTGTGTGTGTGTGTGTGTGTGTGTGTGTGTATTGAACCCCGGTCACTCTACCACTGAGCTGTATCCCCAGCTCTTTTAATTGTTTTATTTGAAGACAGGGTCTCCCACTAAATTGCTGAGGCTGGCATCAATTTTGTGATACTCCTGCCTTAGCCTCCAGAGTTGCTGGGAATATGGGCATGTGCACTGTGCCTGTCTAGGGTATAGTCTAGTCGTTTAGCTTTTTAGATTTTGTCAGGTATCCTTCAGTATTGGTTGTACCAGTTTTTCTTCCTAGCAACAAAATGTAAGAGTTAAAAAGAAAAGCTTCACTGTAAATCTTAATAAGGAAATAATGATCTCTTCAAATAGTGTATCCACTATCACTATCAGTTGGGTATCCACATGAAAAGAAGTGAGAAAAGCCAGTGTGATGGCTCATACATGTAATCCAGCAGCTTGGGAGGTTGAGACAGGAGGATCACTGGTTCAGAGCCAGCCTCAGCAACTTATCAAGGCCCTAAGTAGCTCAGTGACACCTTATCTCTAAATAAAATACAAAATAGAGCTGGAGATGTGGCTCAGTGGTTAAGCACCCCTGGATTCACTCCCCATTACTAAAAAAAAAAGAGAGAGAGAGAGAGAGAGAAAGTAATGAAGGAATTTGACTCCTATATCATACATAAAAATTAGAGCTACATCATGGATGTAAACAATTAAAATAATGATTTTTTATGACCTAGGGGAACAAAATTTCTTAAAGGGAACACAGAAAACACTAACCACAAAATAAGGATTGAGGGCTGAGGATGTGGCTCCAGCGGTAGCGCGCTTGCCTGGCATGCGTGGGGCCCGGGTTCGATCCTCAGAACCACATACAAACAAAGATGTTGTGTCCGCCGAGAACTAAAAAATAAATATTAAAATTCTCTCTCTCTCTCTCTCTCTCTTTAAAAAAAAATAAGGATTGATAAATGGGACCTTGATAAAATTAAAAACCTTGTTCATCAAAATAAACCATTAAAACAAGAGAGAGTAGAAGGTAGTCCACACACAGGAAGTAGATATAAGTAATACAAACACATCCACAGAACTTATTTTCAAAATACATAAAGAGCCAGAAGTGGTGGTAACACTAGTAATTCCAGCAATTTAGAAGGCTGAGGCAGGAGGATTGCAAGTTCAAGGCTAGTCTCAGCATCTAAGCAAAGCCCTAAGCAATTTAGGGAGGACTGGGGATGTAGCTCTGTGGTTAAGCATCCTTGGTTCAAACCTCAGTACCAAAACAAACAGCAACAACCAAAAAACCCGAAGGACAAAACAAAATGCAAAAGAATTCCTACAAACCATTGAAAAAAGGAAGACAGACAGTAAAAATGATGTTGAGTGTATGGAAAAAAGGCTTGAGCAGGCATCCACAAAAGAGAATGTTCACATGGTCAATAAGCTATGTAAAGGTAATGAAAACCATTGGCCATTAGGGAAAGAAAGTTAAACCACAATAAAATGCTGCTACATCTCTATCAGAATTACTAAAATTAAAAGGGTTGATGCTGTGCTTTGGATATGGCTTGGGTGTGTTCCCCAAGGATTTTTGTGTTGAAATTTAATCCCCACTGTGAGGTATTAAGAGGGTGGAAACATAATCTGATTTTGGTGTTTAGAAATGGGGCCTTTGGAAGTGATTAGTATTAAATAAGGTCATGGGTGGAAGCCCCATAATTGAATACTAGTTACTTTCCAAGAAGAGGGTGAGAGACCAGAATGCATGCCTCCTGTCTCTTGCTGTGTGAGACCCTGTGCAACCTTAGGCCTTTGTCAGCAAGAATGCCACCACCAGATGTAGACCCTCTACCTTGGACCAGAACTGTGAGCCAAAACAACTTCTCTTTGGAGGGTGATGCTAGAAATTGAACCCAGGACTGTGCATGCACCAGCTCTTTTAGTGAGCTCTACCATCAACCCAACCTCTTTTTTTAATAAAGTTACTCAGCCTTGAATATTTTATTATAGTAATGAAAACCAGATTAACAAAACCTAATATCAAAGATATAGAACATTTTTGCACTTTTTCTAATATATATTCTTTCTGGTTTTTTTTTTCCTCTTTCAACATATATACTCCTTGTATACCTATTAATACCACCTGTTTTATTTACTATGCTTGTATCACAAACCTTTTCCTATAACTAAATATTTTTATTTGTCATTATTTGAAATTACAGTGTCCTAGGTCAAGAATACACCATAATTTATTTTATCAATCTGCTTTGGTATCAAATTTTATGCAATTTAAATTGTGTCTAAATAACAATCTCTGCAAGCCAGGTGTGGTGCCATATACCTATAATCCCAGACTCGGGAGGCTGAGGCAGGAGGATCACAAGTTCAAAGCCAGCCTCAGCAATTTAGCAAGACCCTGAGTCTCACACACACACACACACACACACACACACACACACACAAAGGTCGGGGATGTGGCTCAGTGGTAAAATGTCCCTGGGTTCAATCCCTAGTAAACCTCCTGCCAATAACAATCTTTTCACTTACATGATTATTTCCTTAAGATAAATTCCTATAAATGTATGTAAAATTCTAAATTTATCCTGATAGATTATCTGAATTTTACTTCCATTCATACTCAGAGAAGGCTTGTTTCCCTGAACCCTTAGCCACACTGGCTATGTTTCAAAACAAATTTTAATCTAATTCTTTTTTTTTTTTTTGTACCAGGGATTGAACTCAGGGGCACTCAACCACTGAGCCACATCTCTACATCCCTGGTCTTACTGTGTATTTTATTTATAGATAGGATCTCACTGAGTTGCTTAGTGCCTCACCATTGCTGAGGCTAGATTTGAACTCATGATCCTCCTGTTTTAGCCTCCCAAGCCACTGGGATTACAGGCTTGCACCACCACACCTGCACCTGGCTATGTGCTCTTTTTAATCTCACAGTAGATTTTTTTTTTTTTTTTGGTATTTGGACTGAGTATTTTGTTTATACTACTGTAACCCTTTGAAGTTATGGCTCATTAGTGCTCTTCATATTATTGTTCTGCTCCCCAACTTTGGGCTAATACACCTTGACCTGCCTTGGTAACTAGATACAATAGTGATACTAGTTCCCTTCAAGGAGCTCCTTTGCTGCAAAGGAACTCCTTAGTCAAGGGGCAGATAACATAGGGAAAGGTTTTTGGTTGCCCTTCAAGAAATATCTATTGAGCCAGACACAGGAAAGCAATGGAGATAAGAGAAAATAACAAGATGGGTGTTCTGCCTGCCCTTATTTACTTCATGGATGGTAAATAAATAAAGAAATGCTTCTAAAGTCTAAACAATTCATTCTTTCTTTCCATACCTAGTACCTAGATATGTCTGTTTATTAATTCAACAATATCAAGCACCTAGTATGGATTAGGCATTATCTATGCCCTGAGGATACAGCAGTAAATAAAATGGTTGAAATCACTATCACTGTAGAATTTTTCTTCTAGTGGGGGGAGGCTATAAATAAAACAAATAAATAAAATTGTAAATAAAATTATGGTATGCTAGATGGCGATTAGTGTTTTGATTAAAAACAATATAAGAGAGGGGGATTGGAATTGTGTGTATGCATATATGTGTGATTTTAAGTAAAGTGGCAAGGAAAGGCTGGACTAAGAATGTGACATTTAAGTTAAGACCTGAAGGAAGTAAGCCACACAAATATCTAGATAATTCTATGGAGCACAAAAGAAGACAGATTCTTGGCTTGGACATTTCTACAGCTGGGAGATAGATATATAATTAATCATAGTCATGTTTGTGATGGTATTCTGTAAGACTTAATGGTCTATAAATACAGAATGTTTTCAGTATATTACACATGATTATTTACAAGAATAGGATCATATATTGGCCCTATGAATTATATTAAACTATAACACAAGGAAATATGATAATGTGCAGGTGGGGGGCTAATTGTTCCATTCTATACTACCAATTCCTTAAAGGGGGAAAGGATGCTTCTCCCTTGAGGTTTCTGCTTGGGAGCCCACTTTTTGTTGTTGTTGTTGTTTTGTTTTGTTTTGTTGTGTGGTAAGTAGGATGTAATCATTATTATTATTATTATTATTTTGAGAGAGAGAGAGAGAATTTTTAATATTTATTTTTTTTAGTTTTTGGCGGACACAACATCTTTGTATGTGGTGCTGAGGATCAAACCTGGGCCTCACACGTGCCAGGCGAGCGTGCTACCACTTGAGCCACATCTCCAGCTCCTGTAATTATTATTTGTAGGTATAAAACTTCCTTGCTCTGGAAGCCAGATTATGTTACAGAAAAATCATTTGCAAACCCATGAGTTATTTGTAAATGGATGGAGCCCAAAGGTACCAAAAGTAAGTTTTCTTTCTGTGTGCATTTCACTAAGTCTAAAAGCTGAGGGATAAACAAGAAAATGCTGTTTGCATTCCGTTTAGACCCCAGCACTCTGAAGGAGGTCTTTATACCTGGGATTGAATCCAGGGGTGCTTAACCACTGAACCATATCCCCAGCTCTTTTCGTTTTGGATTTTGAGACAGGGGCTGGCTAAATTGCTTAGGGCCTTGCTCTCTTGCTGAGGCTGGTTTTGAGCTGGAGATCCTTCTACCTCAGGCTTGGTAGTCCGAAAGAGGTCTTTAAAGACCTGTTTTTTTTTTTTAAAAAAAAGTTATTATTATTATTATTTTTTTTCCTGGGAAAAGTAGGTTAGCTTGGGCAATCAACATAATCCATATGAGTTCCTGGTGTTTCAGGGATTTTGCCAGGTTGTGCGTGCACACTGCTGATTACCATGCTGGAAGGCACTCACCGAAGTCTGAAAGCTTACAACACACTTTCTACATGCCAACAAAGAAGGAAGAAAGCCTGGATGCTGTTGCTTGTGTAGTGGTGCAAAAAGGAGGGCGTGCCCTGTGACCAATTCTGGCCAAACACTATTCATTCATTCATTCATTCATCGGATATTTTATTAAGTGTACATTCCGTGTATGCACCGCTGCTTGCCCACCGGGGTCATTCAAAGCCCTGCGGGTGCGGTGCACAGAGGAGAGAACTGTATATTCCCAGCCTGGGTCTACCTTCCAGTAGAGCTCCTAGACAAAGAGATGCTACCCTGCAGCTCCCTAGGTTGAGGGCTCCGCCCGCGGTGGCGAGGGAGGGTGGAAGTGGGGGTGGGGGTTCGGCGCAACTGCTTCTCCACTCCCCAGCCCGAGGGGGCGCTGCAGCGCCGACGCTCGGCCCGCCCCTGAGCCGCGCTTCACTCGGCCCGCGGTGGTACGTTCCCCCTCGCTGTCCTCCCCCTCCTCCCCGGCCCTCCCCGCTGGTGGTAGGTGCCGGAAGTGCCGCCATTTTGGGGTGTTCTGCTCTGGCGGCAGCGGCAGCGGCGGCGGGACGCGGAGGCTCCCCCGGGACTCGGCCTCAGCAGCGAGGCGGCGGCGGCGGCGGCGGCTGCGGAGGCGCAGGCAGCAGCTGAGGCAGCGGCAGGCTAAGGTGCAGCCGCTGGTGAGTGTGGGGACTAGGGAATAACGGGCCGCGGGACGGAGGGAGGGAGCGGAGGCTGGAGGGAGGCGCCGTGGGGCGGGTCCGGTTCGGGCGGCAGCGGGTCACAGGGCCCTCCGGGTGCGGTCGCTCCTCTTTCCCCGCGCCCCGGAGGCAGGGCCGTGATCTCCCGCGCGTCGGGGTCCCTGGCATCCCGGGTCCCGCCGCGCTCGCCTGGCGCGTGCCCCTGCGCCGAGAGAGACCCGCCTTCCTCGTGGCCTTACACCTCTCCCCGCGCCCTTTGCCTTCATCCTCCCAACCCACAGCGGTTAGCTCCTTGCCCAGGAGCAGTCCCGTCCTCCTTTCCAGCTGCCTTGCCGGATCCAGGCTGCTTGCCCCGCACACCCCTTCCTTGACCCTTCCGCCCCACGTGTTCCTTGTCCTCTGCCCTCGGGCACCCCAGGATCCTCCCCTTAGAGGGTAGCCCTTCTCCGAGCCTCGAGAGCCCCCTGTTCCTTGCCCCAGATCGGCTAGCGCCTTGGCTCGCCCTCCCCCCAACATCAGGTGCTCACCCAGTCATGGCCTAGTAGTCGAGCTGGAAACTCGCACCCGGGGACGTGGAGAGCACATTAAAGCGCTTTCTTCGCCAGGGACCTGGCTTTGGATTTCAAGTCGGTGCTGTTTTGATTGTGGTCCTTCGGGCAGGATGTTGTTTTAATTCTCTGAGATCATTGCATATCCTCTAAGGAGCTTCTTATTGGTTTGGGTTCATTCCCATAGTTGAGGGGAAGGTGGTGAGGTTTTGATCGGAGTCTGTTTGAGCAAAATGGAATCGCTTTCTCGTCAGCAGAGTTGGTGCTGTGCGTTCATTACTGTGGGGTAAAAAGGCTGTTTAACAGTTTTTGAGAGAGCATGAGATGCTTGATGATGTCTGTAGTTTGAGAGGTTACAAATACCCAATGAATCTTTTATAGGAACTTTGCGTTTTAAAGGTCTTTTCACTGTCTTTGGTTCTGTGTGAATTGGAGAGGATTTAATTGCATTCTTTCACCTTTTCCACAAGTGTAGTACTCTTAAGTTTCAGGTTCTCTGCAAATCCTTGACGAGAATGAAGGGGTCTTCTTATAGAATTAATAATTTTTTTTTTCGTTTTAACATTAAAGTTCACTTTGAAAATCACGGAGTTAAAATAGCATGCACTAACTATTGCTGTAGTGATTTTTCTCCCCAAGGTAATTTTTATATTTTTCTAGATTTACTTAGGGAGTGTGGGATTTCTAATCATGACTTTTAGCCAGGATAGAAGCAGTGCTGTTGGTAAAGCAAATCTGGAGCTTTCAGCTGTTGCTTTAACCAGGAAGCTTATGGTTCCCCTAGTGGTTCTTTCCTCATGACTGTCCACCACCTGTTTCCATTAAGAATGGTCCTTGGCCCCAGATCATAGGCCTCCACTTCTCTCTTAACATTCATTTTTTCCCTTTAGGTTTTCTTTTCTTTTTTTTTTTTTTTAAAGTGAGAGAGGAGAGAGAGAGAGAGAATTTTTTAATATTTATTTTTTAGTTCTCGGCAGACACAACATCTTTGTTGGTATGTGGTGCTGAGGATCGAACCCGGGCCGCACGCACGCCAGGCAAGCGCGCTACCGCTTGAGCCACATCCCCAGCCCCCCTTTGGGTTTTCTTCTCTGAAGATAGGGTCTAGATTTGCGATCCATTAGCAGGAGGACTATTAAGAGATGTTTTCCAAACCTTTCACTTTTCAGAGGAGGAAACTGAGGGCTTCAGAAGTAAGCGACTTACTTGCCCAAGGTTACATAGCAAATATTCTTAAAACAGTCTTTTAGCAGAGGTTTGTTTTGCCTTTTTTTTTTTAAAGTATCATGAGCAATAATGCAAATTGCCCTTTGAGATATGGTGGAATGGAAAGGGCTCTGGGCTTAAATTTAGAAGACATGAATTGTAATCTTATGTCAGTTACCCTAACCATGTTAGTCAGCTATTAGGTTTATTTTAATATGCAATATGAAGGAAATGGTGTCTGTCTCACATGGTGCTAGTTCCCCTTCCATGCAGTAACGTGTGAAAGTATCTGTGTTATGATAGGCAGACAGTGAAATTGGGAGCCAGAATGATTTTTTTTCTTACTGCAGAAGTTACAGGGCTGGGGCTGTGTCTTAGTGGTAGAGCACTTGCCTAGCATGTATGAGGCACTGGGTTTCATCGTCAGCACCACATAAAAGTGATAAAGTAATAAAGGTATTATGTCCATCTACAACTAAAAAATATTAACAAGTTACAAATGCATTGTAAAAAGTAGAGATAAGTCAAAAAGGGAACTCAGCCATAGTCCCACTACTCAGAGGTGATTGTTAATATTTGGTTTTTATCTTGTTCATCCTTTTTATATGCTATAGATGTATTACTTACCAAAGTAGGCTTTAGTCAGAGTTTCATGGTGGGTTTTAAGATTTTTTTTTTTAGGTAGTGGGAAGTGAACCCAGGAGTACTTAACCATTGAGTCACATCCTCAGTTTTTTTTATAATTTATTTAGGGACAGGATCTCGCTGAGTTGCTTAGGGCCTTGCTAAGTTGCTGATGTTGACTTTGAACTCATGATTCTCCTGCCTTAGCCTCCTGAGCCCTTGGGATTACAGGTGTGTGCTACCACACCTGGCATGTTTTAAGATTTAATAATAGATATTAAATTTATTTATTTTTTAATTTGGTTCTGGGGATTGAACCCAAGGGTACTTTACCACTGAGCTACACCCCCAGCCATGAATCTCCCCTTTTAAATTTTTTTAAATTTTAATATTTATTTATTTATTTTTTTAGTTTTCAGTAGACACAACATCTTTGTTTGTATGTGGTGCTGAGGATTGAACCTGGGCCGCACGCATGCCAGGCGAGCGTGCTACCACTTGAGCCACATTCCCAGTTCCTTCCCTTTTAAATTTTGAGACAGGGTCTCACTAAGTTGCTGAGGCTGGCCCAGAACTTGGGATCCTCCTGCCCCAGCCTCCTGAGTCGCTGGAATTACAGGCATGTGCCACTGTGACCTGCTCTGTGGAAGCTATTAAATATAGAATGCCATTTTGAGTGGTTGCTAAAACAAACCATGCCATACCTGGGCATGGTCGCACAGGCCTGTAATCCCAGTGACTCCTAAGGGGCTGAGATGGGAGGATTGCAGCTTTAAGGTCAACCTCAGCAATTTAGGAAGGCTTTCAGCAAGACCTGTCTCAAAATTAAAAAAGGGATGGGTGTGTAGCTCAGTGATAAAGCACCCCAGGGTTAAATCTCCAGGACTCAAAAAAAAAAAAAAAAAAAAGATCCACGTATGAGGTAGATGGGTAAAGCAGCACAGGAACAGAGAAATCCTTTTAAACGTGTGATGGGCTTCAAGAGGAGGAAAAGAAAGTGGCAGAGACCTTATTGTGTATATGTGGTGTGTGTGTGTGTGTGTGTGTGTGTTTAATAAAGATTTGGGCTCTGCTACTAAATGTAAAGCTAAGTACTGAATTCCTTTCCTCTTTCCTTGACTGCCACTGCAGCTTCTTTAACTATTTTCCTGTGAATCTGAACCTAAATAGGAACTAGGCAGTTAAAAGATGATAGTGGTGGAAAGAGAAGAACTGCCACCTGGAAGAAGCAGGAGCATAGGCTCCTCTAAGCAGGGTTTTGGGTACTTATAACAAATTGCTCTGTTCTTTTTAAACCAGTGAATGATAGCATTTTGTGAAGCACTTTTTTTTTTTAAAAGTTTTATTGAGGGCTGGGTTCGATCCTCAGCACCACATAAAAATAAATAAAGGAATTGTGTCCAACTACAACTGGAAAAAAACCCAAACTGCTGGGGATGTAGCTCAGTTGGTAGAGTGCTTGCCTTCCATACACACAAGGCCCTGAGTTCTATCCCCAGTACACCCCCCCCCACACACACACACAAAAATTTTTTGAGATACAATTCACCCATTTCCTGGGAGTGGTGTATATGCCTGTAATCTTAGCAACTTGGGATTTATTTATTAATTTGTAATTAATTTATGAATAAAAATGCTTAAGAGCACGATGTGCTTTATTTTATTATTTGATACTGGGGATTGAACCTTGGGCACTTAACCACTGAGCTAAATGCCCAGCCCTTTTTACTATGAGACGGTGTCTCCTAAGTTGCTTAGTGCCTTGCTAGGTAGCTGAAACTGGCTTTGAACTTGTGATTCTCCTACCTCAGCCTCCCAAGTTGCTGTGATTATAGGTATGGGCCACTGTACCTAGCTTTCCTAATCATTTTAAAGTGTACAGTTATGTGGTAGTAAAGTACATTCACGGGGTAAGTTTGTGGCTCAATGGTAGAGCACTTGCCTAGCATGTGTGAGACCCTGGGTTTGATCCTCAGCATCACATAAAAATAAATAAAACAGGCTGGGGTTGTGGCTCAGTGGTAGAGCACTCACCTAAGCACATGCAAGTCCCTGGGTTCGATCCTCAGCACCACATATAAATAAAGAAATTAAATAAAGATATTGTGTCCAACACAACTAAAAAATAAATATTTAAAAAATAAATAAAACAAAAAAGATATTGTGTCCATCTACAACTAAATATATATATATATATATATGTATTTTTAAAAAAATACATTCACATTGTTGGCAAAAAGATTTCCAGAAGTCTGGGAAGATCTTGTAGATCTGAAATTGTATATCCCTTTGAAAAAAACTCTTTTCCTTTGCCCTTCAGTCCCTGGTAACCACTTTTCTTTTTGTTTCTATGAATTTGAGTACTTTAGAGACCTTATAAGTGGAATCATAAAATGCTTTTCTTTTTGTGACTGACTTATTTCACATAGCTTGATATCCTCAAGGTTTATCCATATTTTAGCACTTGACAGAACTTTTTTCTTTTTGAGACTCCATTATATGGATATATCACTTTTTGTTTATTTGCTGCATCCATTGATGGAAGTTTGAGTTGTTTTTGCCTCTTGGCTATTATGAGTTTTTGGTGTGCGCCACCACACCTGACTTCTTGTTTTTTAATCTTTTTGGTTACATGTTCGATATTCCTTATGTAAATGCTTGGGATCAGAAGTGTTTTGTGATTTGGACTTTGTATTGATATTTGCATACACATAATGAGATTTCTTGGGGATGGCATGTAAGTCTAAACATGAGGTTTTGTTTTTTTTTCTTTTTCTTTTGGTACTAGGGATTGAACTCAGAGGCACTTTACCACCGAGCCACATCCCCAGGTCAGTTTTCTTTACTTTTTATTTTGAGTCAGGGTCTCACTAAGTCACTTAGGGTCTTGCCAGATTGCTGAGGCTGGCCTTGAACTTGTGATATTCCTGCCTCAGTCTCCTGAGTCCATTTATGTTTCCTATATACCTTATCACATAGCCTGAAGATAATTTTACACATTTTTAAAAATATTTTAGTTTTAGGTGGACACAATGTCTTTATTTTATTTTTATGTGATGTTGAGGATTGAACCCAGTGCCCCACGCATGTCAGGCGTGTGCACTACCGCTTGAGCCATATCCCTGCCCAAACACATTATTTTTATAAATAAGGTGTGCCTGAATTTTGATTGTGATTTATCACACCAAATTAAATTTGAAATTTTCCACTTGTGGTGACATGTTGACACTCATAAAGTTCAGAGTTTGATTGTTTTGGCTATTTGGATTAGGGATGTTCAACTTGTATATGCCAGAAAATGAGATTGCTGGGTCATAGGGTAATCCTACTTGAACTCTCCTACTGTTCTCAATAGCAGCTATAGCATTTTATGATCCCACTATCTTGCACAGGGCTTCCTAATTCTCCATATCCTCTACATCATATGTTTCTAGCTTTGTTTTGTTTTGATAGCCATCCTAATGGGTGTGAGGTAATTACTCTGTGGGTTTTTGTTTTTGGTGCTGAGGACTGAACCCAGAGGGGTTTTATCACTGAGCTACATCCCCAGTCCTTTGTATTTTTTATTTTGAGATAGGGTCTTACTGAGTTGTTGAGGGTCTTGCAGAATTGCTGAGACTGGCCTTAAA